TGTGTGGACGAAAGCTAGAGAATAAATTATACATTGTTAGTCTCAAAAGTGCTGCTGTTTTTTACTTTATACTTTCGTGTTTGAAGTATAGCCTATGCCTATCAAAACCACGGCCATTGTATAATATATGTCAACATAATCCCATGTGCAATTAAGAAGGTCAATGCGGAATTTATTAATGTTATTGTCATTAATTTGTCTAAAAGTGCGTTTGTTGTTAGTATTATTTTCATTATTATCACTATTACAGGAAGCTGATCAGTAAAGACACTAATGATAGTTCCACTGTTAAATGAGGATGCATTATCATTTGTGATATTATTGTCTAGAAGAGTAGCGCTATCATGAGTGGTTCGTGTCGGTCTGTGGATAAGAGTAAAAAAAGAATTATTAAAGAGACAGTTGATAAAATCTTTACTATTATTATCAAACACAAATCTGAGGAGGTCAAGTCACCTAAAATGTAAATTCGTTTGTTTTCTTTGGAAATCCGTTTTAAGTAATAAGTCAAATGCTCTGTAAAATAAGATATGTTAATTATATGTGGTCTTATATGTGGTCGATAAATAGTTCCAACAATTTACCGTCGGTTTGAATTTCGATGAAGTGAGATTCGCAAAAATGTAGTCTAGCTGACAAGTCTGTTCTTGTTTTGAAAGAAAGACCATCTTTGACGTACATAAGAACACCACCACATTTGTACGAACGGGGTTTAAAAGTAATAGAATAGTTAGGAATATTAATAAGTGGATTTTCAGATTTCATCAAGATTCAGACACGGAAATAACATAAAAAATAAAATTTTTTGATTCAAGACAAAGTGAATCGATTTTTTTTCTGGCGTTGAAATGAGTACAGGAAAATTTTCTCCAATAATCAGAGCTGTATTTTTGAGAAAATTCGTAAGGTACGGTAAATAATGGTTTGACAAACTCATGTTATTAAAAAAAATAAATCTGGATCAATATCATTCAAGTGTTTATTAGATGTGGAGTAAGGATTAAATAAAATATCAGATAATCGATCAAAGCTTTTTGTAGTGTGTAAATGTGACGTCCCCGTACATGCGCACATAACAGAAAACAAACAGACCAGTATGAGATAAAAAAAATATGAGAAAATTGAATTTAGGGTTAAAGTACGGTATGTTAAAAAGTAAAAAGTTGCAAATCAGGTAATAGGTGTTTAGTCAATACTACCAATTCCTGTGTTGGAGATACAAAATTTGGAATAAGAAGCGTTTAAAGTTTTAAGGAAACATAGAATATGTATATACATACCAGGGAACAGTAAAATCACTAACTACTAAATTATCAAATTAACCACTCCCGATACACCACTCCCCAAATATATGAATATTACTACGATAAGAACAATAATAATAATAATAATAATACTAATAATAATAATAATAATAATAATAAGCAATAATAACAGTAACACTAATATAATAGAATAATGAATTATATAAAGACTTATTTATAAAAATACAGTTGATATATAGTGGTTGTTGAAACTAAATTTATATATCACAACAGTACAATTATTTATGTATATATATATATATATATATATATATATATATATAATACAAGCATGCATATGTAAAATAAGTAATAGGCCATTAACAAAAAATAATAGTAAAATAAATATATAAAATAAATATATAAAAACTGTAACTTATGGAAAAAATATTTAGTGAAAGTATAAATTATAAATCTCAACAGCACAAAATACCAAGGAAATGGTAATGTGCTAGACCATAGTCATTTATTAAAGTAGAGTATAACAGGAAGGCAAAGCATTAATTACGTAAACATCAAAAATACAAAGCAAATAATAATGTGCTAGACCATAGTCATTTATTAAAGTAGAGTATAGCAGGGAAGCAAAGCTACGTTACATAAACATAAAAAAGACCAGATGTAGAATAATACAATAGGCCAGTCTCCGGGCCAACTCTGGCGTTAATGACACAGTGCACTGAAAATAATCGGAATGTCAACAGAAGAATGTATGCAGATTTATGTAAATCAGGCTTCCAGATACGCCACTGATGTTGAACTCAGTACAGTACTGTAGTAAATAAATGATTCAGTTGCTTCACCGGGATAATAATAATAATAACGATTTTTAAAGTGCAAACATCACCACCAAAAATTGGTGCTCAAGGCGCAGTGTCAAAACAACAGGATGTAAGTATTTGGGACAGGAATGACTCGGTGCGGTAGTTACATCATTCTGAGAGACAGCTTTCATACCGGAGCGATTTTAGGTTACTCACTCTTTATTGCACTTAGTGCGCGCCATACCTAATTTAATTGGCGTCCCATACTCGATTTTTTTTTCGTCTCTAAATTAACTTTCTCGTTGGTGGCGCTGTCCAGAATGAGAAAAACAATAAAAAATAAGAGACTTGTGGCAAGTCTACGGAGCGATATGCGAGACGGCCGGAGGCGAGTTTTTTTTCCGTACGAAACATTTGCAGGAAACTTCACTCGGGCCATCTCAGATTGACTCGAGTGAGTACGATACGAGGAACAAGAGCGACACTTCGCAATGTCCTGACGATCGAGTTTTACTATTGCTCTTTTATGTTTTATGTTCTGTAGAATAATCTAAGTAATCTCAGCAATTCTTAATATGCGGCTTTTAATACTATTTAACCAAGCAGTGACGTACATGTATCTAGGGATATTGACTTGAAATGTGTGGGTGGAGGGAAAGGTGAAGTGGGAGGGCAGTAGCTTGCAAAATCAGGTGGTAATGAAATGATTTTAACTAATTTATCATAGATGTTTGGCTAAATTTCCAGTAGGGAAGGTGAGTGACACGTGTGGGACAACATTTTTTGGGAGAGGGTCTATAATTTAACGAAGAACGAACTGAGTTGTTCGCTGTTAGTACTTTCTCGAGTAGATCACAATCACATTTACAGGCAGTATTGTAATAATAATAATAATTCTGGATTTATATAATGCCTCACGTTGACACAACCTTGAGGCGCTTAACAACAACAGAGAAGAAAAACCAAAACAAATGCACCAAAAAATTATCAAATATTTGGTTTTAGTTTAGTTTAATTAAGTTCTAGTGATGGTTTGATGATTATCAATAAATGTTATTATTACAGTGCTTTGGCAATGCTAATTGTAATCATTTCAAGCCTGTTACTTTCCTATTCATCCCAAAGCCTTTCATTTTTCTTTCCCTTTTGCTTCTTGACTTTCTTCCTCTCTCCTTCAAATGTTCCTGATCTTTACTTTTCTTGTCCTTTCTTATGTTTCCGTTTCCTTATCTTATCTTCACATTCCTTTCTTAGATGCCTTATCTTTCCTTTCATTTTCTTTCTTATAATTCGTATCTGTCTTTCATATTTCTTATCATTTCTTTTCTTTTCCTTTCTAATGTTTCCATGTCTATCTTTCCTTTTCTTTTGTCATGTTTCCTTATTTACCCTTTCTTTTTTCATCCTTAGTTTATCTACACCGTAATATTAAAGTATTTAAGTGTAAAGCTGGTTGTACACGATAGTCTTATAAAACATAAGCCTAGCTTAGCTTCATCCTTACCATATATCTCAGATAAGATAGTATAAATACATACTCCAAGTATCGAAATGCACACCATCGTGTCGGGATTCAATATTTCAACATTAATTATGTCATCATCAGGAATCCTGATGATGATAATAATAATAATAATAAAATATTTATAATGCGCTGATTTCAAATAAATGATCAAAAGCGCAGAGAGTACAAATAGAGAAAGATTTAAAAATTGAAAATGCGAAGTGGGGATGGTCTAAAAAGAGTTAAACAGATGGGATTTCAGTTTAACTTAAATACATCAATATAGGGGGACAGTTTGATAGAGAGTGGCAATGATGACATAATTAATGTTGAATATTGAATCCCGACACGATGGCGTGCATTTCGATACTTGGAGTACTATCTTACCATATATAGGCCTATCATTATTGGTGACAGCAAATTAAACATACTGGTAAGTAGGAAGAACCACCTGACTCCTACTAACAAATTATCATTTTTAACAAAAATTATTCACAACCATATTACAATATAAAATTTGCATTTTATTACTTATGAAAAGGAAACTGCCAAACATACGGTAGGACCAAAATTAAACGGTCTACTGTATATCCCTATTCAGAAATAAATGAGGTTTTTCAACATCATTTTTATCATCCACAAATAGATTAATGCTAGGCTAGACGATATCTGGTAAATAAATGAAGATAGAAAACATTTGTCCTACAACATGCAATGTATAGCTACACTGTGACTTTGAAGGTTAGACTGCAACCTGTATTTCATGTAAAACTATTCTTTCTGTTTCTATGCTGCTCAGTTACATATTAGGGCACACTACAGTATTTAAAAAAACACTATTTTTGTATTTTCAGTTAAGTTACCTTAATACCAGTTGAAGCAGAGGACATGTGGCATGCATATAATCTAAACAGCGTTGGTGACAGCCTTAGGTCAACAATGGTGCGAAAGGTCACAACAGAATCATCAACCGGGAGTAGTAGCAGTAGCCGTGTACGCACCACACTGACCATCTCAATTGAGGATATAGACTTTGACACACAGGGGTGTATGTTAAAGTCAGACTCCGGAGGAAAAAAAATTTTTGGTATGTTAAAAGGGGCGTAACCATCCATTTTTACACCTTTTTCCCCCAGTTTTTAAATATTCAAAAATCTGTATCTCATTCACCGTTGCTCAGTTTTTCGTCAAACAACTTTTTTCTGTCTTAGAAAAATCAGTTCTACAACATATCAAACATTTTTTTTCCTCCGGAGCCTGACATTTGAAGTTCCAAAGAAACATAAACAAATAAAAATGCATTAATTATTTTTCTTAGCAATCAGTATATATCATGTACACAAATGTTGTTCCTTTTTAACAAGATCAAAACCTACCATTATAGTTTTGTTTTTGAATGAGAAACTTATTTTGAATTGCAGATGGGAGCATACCATACGCTGGACTTGGAGCTCAACAGGAAGTTCACACTAGCTAAAGTATGCTGGGATATCATAGCACTAGAAAGAATTGGTTAGTAAATTTTGAAACAAAAACAAGTGGTAGTTTTTCTTTGTAAATTTTGTAAAATGTCTTATCTACCAGAATACAGTTTTACAGAATATCAATATAGTAATATTCAATTCCATTTTATTTTTTGTTTATTCAGGAGTACAAACCATGCAGTTGATAAGAAAACTAGAATAATATATCCAGACCCCAGACCAGCTTAAGGCTGCTGTTGCCCGAAGCATACTTTTACAATTTGCGTACACATAATAGATTGTATTAAATAACTGCCCCTAAATGCATTATGTTGCTAATATATGTATATTATTTATTTAATCTTTCTTTATACTGAATATACACTTTCAATATATAGTACTTGTTTCCAAAGTGGTTCAGTTCTTAACTACAAAATTTTAAAAGCAGATATATACATATGGTAACCAAAAAAGATGGATCACTTAACTACAAATTAAAATAGATTTAAAAGGAACATTGAAAGAAACTTAAGAAAAATAAAAAATTTAAATAATAAATATGGATATGCAAGGTAAGGTTAAATTAAGATGTTATTATTGAGGATTAGAAATAGAATGCTTAAAATTTGAAAGTGTCATAGATTTAAAGTTGGTTTTAGTATGATCCGGGAGTTTATTCCATAAGTTAGTAGATCGGTATGCAAAAGTTCTTTTACCTTGCATGTTATTCCAGGTGTATTCAATTAGTGAATTTTTACTTTGACTGCGAGTAAAATGCGTATACAAATCATAATTAAAAACAAAATTTTTCGTTAAATATGATGGAGCATGATCATTTAAACATTTGAAAATCATTATGAGCAATTGTTCGTCCCATTTATCACTGAGTTTGCGCCACCCTAATTTTTCAAATGCAGTTCCGACTGAAAATTTTGCCTGAGGTCTTAAGAAAAAACACTGTTTTTCCCTTATTCTGTTCAAGACAAAATTCTTGAGAGTAGTTTTTTTTTTTATTGAGATCTTAAAACTAAATACCAGTAGTAACAATACTAGTAAATACTGTACTTATTATAACATTAAGTATCAATGTCCATAAATATTACTACCATAATACAGTAGGACTAATAAGAAAAAAATGCAATGCAGGCAATAAAAACAATGCTTTAAAGAAAAATCCTAATAAAAACTGCAAATATATAATATCAATATTAATATAAACAAAGAACAACAATTCCAATAAAATCAAAACTAGTAATTTAAAATACAATCAAACCTTAGTACTGTACTGTAACAACGAAATAAAAGAATAGAACTAATAATAACAATATGGGGAATAATATTACAAATATCAAGATAATTGTTTGGCATTTTTATTTATAGCAATTTCTAAAGAATGTTTCAAAGCACTTCAGATTATTTCCCGGATCATTGCAAAAGTAACCATGCACGCAATGCAACCGCAGCTGTTCTCATACTTAGTAATACATGACATGGTGTTGACCAGTTTTCAACAAAGAATTTTACAATACAATCAAACCATATTAATGACTCTATTATGTCATACTCTACTTGTAGCTAGAGTTTGTTCTTGTATAAATATATTTTTATTTTGCAAGAATTGAATGTGTAGGCCTAAAATAACATGGCACATCTTTGGTTAGAAACCAAGCATTGTCTAATTTATTTGTGGATACAAATCAATACAATTATTGACCACGTAATAATTCCATTAAATTACATTCTGATATTTTAAGTATCTAACACATCCCAGCTTGTCATAACAAAAACCTCAGTTGACTAATTCTAATTTTACAGACAATTACAATCAATACTTTGTCACATGTTGTAGTAGGAGTTGTGGTTGTTGTAGGTAAATAGGAGGATTGACTTTGCTTCAATTTGTAGGAATTATTAAGGGTATATTTACACAATTTTATGTACCTGTACCATATCTGAATATAGTTGAAAGAAATAGAATGCACAATGTCATGGTAATAATAATATGAGGATGCTTCCAAAATCTTAGGTTACTGTATATGCTTTATTACAAATATAGGCCAAGACAAGGTGTAAAGTAACATAATGTATGTATGAAAAATAGCATTTAAAATGTATGTAGATCATGTGTTACCCTGCCATGGTGATTTTTAGATTTCATGTACTGTATTTTAATTGACCTCAGTCTAAAATTTTACTTTATAATATTAATACACTACACCATATAGGAAAGAAGACAACTGTTTGCAAAGTGCCCTCTGCCCAAGGACACAGCAATGTTTTAAATCTCTGACCTCAAGGCTGAATCACAAAACCACTCACCCAGTCATTTCCACATAATTACATGAATTTTAAATTTGAAACTGTATTAAACTAAATGTAAGCACACAGACTTTGCAATGGCCAAATAGTGTTTATTTTCTGAAATATTTTATGCAACAAAATGATTTTAACCATATGTGGCAAAGACAAGCTAAACCAGTCACTCGTCGCAAAAATTGATTTTTAGTGATACAGTGTTAAATGTGAATTATAAGATGGTAAAGAATCATTTAAATCCAACATTTCCTTAAGAAATTACAAGCCTTTAAGCATATACAGCTGTTTAAAGAACAATATTTGAGAAATCAGCCTTCAAAATTTATTATTTTGGGCATGTCTCAGGCAGAAACCATCACCAAATCGTTAATAATTGTTTTAACATTGAAAATGGGGAAATGTGTGATTGTAGCAAGCCCTGGTTTCGTGAAGGTAAAGTTCTAATATACAGTATATCAAAACACTAATTGAGAACCTGCATTATTCAAGTTGTTTCCTTGTACAGTATTTTCTTTTCTATGTAAATAGCAATTGACATTTTAACCAGGAAGAGTTTGGTTATTAAGTAAATAGAAATTGATAACTAAAAGTAGTTTTTATTTTGGTTTCTGTGTTTTTTGTACATATTTCCTTGTTCTTATCTTGACACAACTAAGTTTATGAAACTTATCTTTTTTGAGTCAAAACTCAATCTGATTATTATCAGTTGAATAACATCAAAGCTCAGTCCCATGATTATCAGTTGAATAATGGTCACCTATCTAGCTTTACTAAAAAAAAAATTACCATTCATGTATGAATAGTCTATAGTGATGGGCAGAGACTTGTTAAACATTTCCGGTCAATTTGAGACTACTTGTAACATGATTCAACTTATCTCTTAATGATAATAATCAATCAAAATCATACAGTTCACCCTCCAATTCAAGACACCTGAGACATAAAAATTTGGGTTTGTCTCAGGACTCGATTTCCAATTAGAGGGTTAACTTTATACTAAAGATTGAAGATTGTTGTTGGTATTTAGAAAAAGTGGTCTCGATAAATAGAGGGGTCTCGAATTGAAGAGTAAATTGGAATCATTATTATCTTAATAATCATCTTAATCTTCTTAATCATCATTATTATAATAATCATATTATCGTGTTAATCATTCATCATCACCATCTTCAGTATTAACATCATCATCATTATCTGCAATATCTTCACTGTCACCATTACTTGTATCTTCAGTATTATCATCATTGTTATCATCATCATCTTCATCATCATGATTGTCTTCAGTGTCATTGTCATTATCATCATCAAAAATAAAATTAATACATGTAACTTTTCCATTTTAATTTCAGGATCAGTTCTGTGAATATCTATTCCAACAAGCTGTGAAGCTTGAATTAAAAGTACTTTTGGAAAACAGACACAAATTCATCCAGGTACATTCCTCTTCTGGTCACAAACATGCACTGAAAGGTAAGCCTCATTATTCAATGGCAAAAAAATTGGAGGGTGTGTGGGTGAACATATTGAAAGCTTGCTCCCCCAGCAGCTTAACTTTTACATCCATACAAGTAATTGTCATGTAACCAGAGTTAATTTTTTTACAAAGCTCCCTCACTAGTTTATTTTTATTTTTGAGTTTAAATTGTGAGATTTGGTTTTATTATCCCCTTAAATAACAATACTTTATTGCTTTTTGCATTTGGGAATGAGGCCTATGACTTGGGAATCAATAATTATCCTCTATATTTTGTCTTTCCTCATGTAAATTTTAAGTAAAATGCTTCAGAAAGTTTCAGGAAATAATAATGTATAGTGGAATGAACTATGTATCATTATGTTGTATGTTAAAGGGTTGGCAATACTAGACCTAGTTTTTGTTTTCTTGGTATGTCATAAATAGTGTGCTGCTGGCAAACAAATAAAAGCTGTGTTCTATTATTGTACTGTAAATAATATGCTTTTAAATATATAACAATTTAGGCACTATAATTTTAAATATTTTAAATTCTTAGCTATCAAAATTCAAAATCTATAATAAAGTACTATAGTAATTCTTTGTACTGTGTCTTATGACTTGTCTGTGTTGAAATTTATCTATTACAGTATTCTTATTTATGTTTCTTTTTATGGAAATATTATCAGACCCAGATCTTTCTACAAAGTTGGCTGATACAAAGGCAGCTGGGGAGGTGAAAGCTCTGGGGCAATTCTACACTACTCTATGCAGATCGAGCATTGTATGGGTATGTGCTAACAGTTAAAAAAAAATAACCTGTAACAGGGTAAGGAGGTATATAACACCTCCTTGAACATGGTTTATTCTCAACTATTTAAGCCGAGGAAAAGTTGGTATATATAATTAATTAAGGTCCCATGGTCTAGGCTCAAGAGGGAGGTTCAACCACTTCCACATAAACACAATGTTGGTAATGTAGGCCTCTATAGGCCTAATTTGAAATAATGCAACAATATTGGTGTATTTTTTTAGGCTTTTTCTAGCGAGCCAGATAATAACAACATGCATTCAACCCAGTAGCTGCCTTTTGAGAACCCCTGCTTTATAAAGTTGTGTTGTACTGCTAACTTTGTTATTTGATGTTAAAGAAAATACATAATAGTATTGTATGTCTTACATAGCAAATATTAGCATTGCAGTCAGTCATTGTCTCCCTGTTTTAACAGATGTGTATTTATAGAATATGACATTTGATGACCAGGGTAGTAATGTAAATAGCCTAGGTCATGGTAGCCAATGCATATTCACAAAACATGTTTCATTGGTGATGAAATATTGTACCAATATTATGTGATTAAAACAGTTAGATGCAGAAATGCAACTGGCAAACAATTCTTCTCAAA